TGATTTTTGACACTTTTTTTGGCGGATTTGTCTAAAAATTGGTATTTGTTGGTCATAATGGGTTCTGGCTACGGTGGCAAAACATTGTATCTATAGGTCCACGTTTTGGTATAGTCCCCATATAACGGTACCTTCCGATATTCGGTATTTTGATGATTTTTCCCACATTTTTTTCACAAATTTTTGGTATTTTGTGTCCTGATGGGTTCTAGCTCCGTTGCCGAGATATTGCATGTATAGGTTCACGTTTTTGTATAGCCCCATATAGCGGTACCCCCCGATATTTAATATTTTAATGATTTTGCGAAATTTCCCCACGAATATATCTAAAAATTTGTATTTGTGGGACACAATGGGTTCTAACGTTTCCTTTACCCTAATGTGGGGTGTATTTAAAGTTTGGCCCGCCCGAACTTAATGTTTTTTTACTTGTTTTTCCGTCGGCAAACTTAACATATGTGAGTTAAATAAATAGTATTCTTACCTTTTAAAAAATTCCTCATTTTTTTAAATATTGAATGGTATTTTTGGATATGCCTTGAGCGAATCGAACTCAGGTAGCAAGCTTGTATATGTCTATTAAAGATATATGATAATATTATTTTAATGTGTCTTTGATTACGATTTTCCCGTTCGTTACCTTTACTCCTTAAGCCAAGGACTCTTAATGCCCAGTGCATAGTAAATGTTCACTTTTTCATTCCACTCCATAGATATCAAATTTTACGTATGTTCAGCGACGTCCTCAGAAATGAATTTTAAAACCATATGGGAGGACCCAAGATGTCCCTTTTAAAAATTACAGAAATGTCCTTGTAAAATGTACAGAAGACTAGCTATTTCGGTGGGACCCGAGCCCTCAGGGGCACCTCCTGCGTGCATCCCTTTGATTCTTTCGAAACTTTTTTATAATTATACAATAACTATTAAAGTCTAAAATAAATAAGTGTTAAAAGTTTGGACTCGCCTACAAAGTGAAAGTTGCCTAAGTTATGTCATTAATTTTATTTTATTTGATGGGAAGTAACAAATTAAATTATAATTAAAAACCAGTAACCAGTGAGCAAGGAAAAAATTAAAGTCGGACTGGACATACTTTATGATACCCTACATCGCTCTACATATTTAGCATACGTTCTCCTAGTTCCTAAAAATTTGAAAAGTTCCATTCATGCATACCGAATCTATACTCGTACCAAATTGCATGCATTCTAGTAGGAACAACAACGATCATTTGTCTCTCTCTCGCTCTCTCACTCTCTCTTTTTCTCTCCCTCTTTATTTCTCTGGTGCTCGCTATAACTCTCAAAAGGAGTATCTTATTTTCAAAAACTTTTATGGTAATATTATTTTGAAAATTAGATCGAATGCGGAGATGGAAAATGTCGGTGCACTCCTTATGGTATCCCTCCCTAAAAGTCAACATTTTCAATTTTCAAAGGAAATATTTTACCCAGAGCTCAGATTTGCTCATTCTCACTAGGCAATGAAACGTGCTCGCGATTAGGATTGCTCAAAGTTGGGGGTTTGTACATACACGCCCTCGATCTCTACACTTTCAGCAAAAAGGCACACCGTTCGGAAAGAAAAGAAACAACGAACTCGTTACTTCTTAAAATTATCTTCACTGTGACGGCTCAATGTTACTTAATCAGCAACTTCACCCGTCACTAAAAAGTCAATGTTAGGGAGTAACGAGTGCGTGGTTCATTTCTTCCCGAACGGTGTGCCTTTTTTGTTAAAGATTCGAGATCGCCGGCGTAGGTTTTCATCGCCTGTTGGTGACTTTTTAGTTATGTCAGCGACTAAAAATGTTTGCTGGGATCTGGTCGATTTTGAACAAATTTTACTCTCACACAAAAACATGCTCACTCCCATTCGAGTAGCATCGAAAAAATGAGCTTGCTCAACATTTTTCAGCTCTCAGAAGCGCACGCCGTCGAATACGAGCAAGTTTCTCTCTTTGAGCAAAATCGAGCAAGTTTTTCATTTAACCTCATGAAAGAGAATGGTTTATCCGATTATATTACAACTTTGTAAATCCTAATATTTGTCTTAGTTCTAAGTAAGGTATGAACATTCTAGTACCGCCTTCACAAATAGTTAACATCTTGAATAATTATGGGTCTTGTAAGATGTGGAATAATATTTCCAACACATAAAGTGATGTGTCGGACCTTTCGGCACCTCGCCCACAAAGGCTCCCAATTTTGAAAAACCATGACCCTTATGACACGCGAGTAGATGTTCTTCAATCTTGGTGTATTTTAATATTATTAATGTAAAACGAAAGCATAACAAGTGGCGAAAGACGAAAATGTTTATAAGTGCGGTTGTAAGATTTAGAAGAATTTCCAAAATTTCCAATTTTAGTTTTATGCAATTCATTGGTTCCTCTTATATTGAGCTTACGATCTCGTCGCTTGGGTAAAAAAAGTTATTTGTAATAGGAGTTATTTTTAAAATAAATTCTGGGGAGAATATCCCAGATAAAAAACAAGGTAACTGATGAGGATTGTTGGCTCTTTCGGAAACCTACGTATTCCCTGCCTTACCCCCTGGGAAACATTACCATCGTTCTCCACTAATAAACAAAGATTGTTCTTATAAAAATAACAATATTGGGATTAAGCCTTTTTCAATAACAAAATAGTATGATATCCCGAACAAACAAGTCAACACTCTTATGGAAGGTCTGTAGGACTTCTCACAGAAGGCCTGTAGGTCTTCTTATAAAAGACCGGTGGGTCTTTTCATAGAAGACCGATATGCCAGAAGACGGTCTTCTCATAGAATGCTGGTAGGACTTCTCATAGGGGGACTGTAGGAATTCTCATAGAAGGCCTGTAGAACTTCTCATAGAAGGCCGGTAGCTCTTCTCATAGAAGGCCGGTAAGTCATCTCGTAGATCGCCGGTTGGTCTTCTCATAGAAGGCCGGTAGGTCTTCTCATATAAGAGCAGAAGGTCTTCTCAGAGAAGACCAGAGAAAATGGTCTTCATAAAAGGCCAGTGAAGAAAGTCTTCTCATAAAAGACAAGAGAATAAGGTCTACGCATAGTAGAACAGAAGAATTTCTTCTTCATAGAAGAAGGTATTTTCATAGAAGACCAAAGGAAAGTCTTCCAATAGAAGACCAGAAGAAGGTCTTTTCATAGAAGACTAGAAATTCTTCTAATAGAAGACTAGAAGTTCTTCTTATAGAAGGCCGGAAGAAGGTCTTCTCATAGAAGACAAGAAGGACTTCTCAGAGAAGAGCAGAAGTTCTTCTCATTGAAAGCAAGATGATCTTCTCATGGAAGACCGGAAGGTCTTCTTATAAAAAACCAGAAAGTCTTCTCATAAAAGACCGTAGGGTCTTTCATAGAAGTCCAGAAGTTCTTCTTATAGAAGACCGGAAGGTCTTCCTATAGAAGACCAGAAGGACGATCTTGAAATAGAATACCAGACGGTCTTCCAGCAGAAGACAAGAATTTATTCTCAGAGAAGAGCAGAAGATCTTCTTTGAGAAGAGCAGAAGGTCTTCTTTGAGAAAAGCAGAAGGTCTTCTTTGAGAAGAGCAGAAGGTCTTCTTTGAGAAGAGCAAAAGGTCTTCTCAGAGAACAGCAGGAGGTCTTCTCAGAGAACAGCAGAAGGTCTTCTTTGAGAAGAGCAAAAGGTCTTCTCAGACCAGAAGGTCTTACTATAGAAGACCGGAAGGTCTTACTATAGAAGACCGGAAGGTCTTACTATAGAAGACCGGAAGGTCTTACTATAGAAGACCGGAAGGTCTTACTATAGAAGACCGGAAGGTCTTACTATAGAAGACCGGAAGGTCTTACTATAGAAGACCGGAAGGCCTTACTATAGAAGACCGGAAGGTCTTACTATAGAAGACCGGAAGGTCTTACTATAGAAGACCGGAAGGTCTTACTATAGAAGACCGGAAGGTCTTACTATAGAAGACCGGAAGGTCTAACTATAGAAGACCGGAAGGTCTTCTTATAGAAGACCGGAAGGTCTTACTATAGAAGACCGGAAGGTCTTCTTATAGAAGACCGGAAGGACTTCTCAGAGAAGAACGGAAGGACTTCTCAGAGAAGAACGGAAGGACTTCTCAGAGAAGAACGGAAGGACTTCTCAGAGAAGAACGGAAGGACTTCACAGAGAAGAGCAGAAGGGTTTCTCAGAGAACAGCGAAAGGTCTTCTCTAAGAACAGCAGAAGTTCTTCTCTTTAAAATATTTAACCGATACCTCAGATGTAGTAAATATGGGAGCACTCTTTCTGCACTTTCGTCACAAAGGGTCACTATTTGGAATAATGTTAACTCTCATAAGATGCTTCCTAATCAGACATATATAAATCTACATATATATATCTACATATAAAGTAATTCTATGAACATAATTGTTACCCTTCTTTTTATGTAGCAAACAAATGACATGTATCACTTCTTTGTGTAGGGTGCAAGTAAAACTCAAAATAGCGTAACTTACGATATTTTTTTTATTTTCACAATATATTTTTCTATTATTTGGAGTGTTTCAAGTAAAGTTTTGGGAATATTATTAGCATAATAATATAATATCCCCGCCTGCTCATTTAAAGTCTCGAAATTTGTAATTTTAGAACAAAAGCCCATTTGTAGTTCCACTAATAACGTAAAATGTTTTTTTTTATGTTTCAAGTTATATATCAACAAAAGTAGTTCCATGGTTATGGGGAACTCATATTCAAAATTCAACTTATTTCTCTTAGAAGGAGAGAGGGCTTAGTAATCCCATTTTAATTCTGATTGGATTTTTTCAGCTAAGTTGACAGTTTAATTTTGGTATTGAACTATAATTTTAAATGGAAAACCTCAAAAACAAAACAAAAATATTTATTTCCATTTTTTACACTTAAGTCACTTTGTGGTTTTCCACAAAGTTTTATCATATCCTCCAATATAAAAAGGTGACAACTTTTAACATCTAATTAGTTAACAGTTTACATTCAATAAAAACACCATCCATAGAATTATGGCCGACGAATTGAATACCAAGGCTCTATTCAAAACTCATTTTGTGGCATGGCGTATTTTGGGCATGTTACCCCCTACCAAATATCGTCCGCTGTATTGGATGTATTCGGTGTTCCTTAATCTGGCCGTTACAATTGGTTATCCTCTGCATTTGATAGTGGGTCTGTTCACCACAACCACTGCCTATGAAGTTGTTCAAAATATTGCCATTAACTTGACCTGTGCATTTTGTGCCATGAAAACCATTGCCATCTGGTGGCGTTTCAATAAACTCGATATTATGTTCGAAATTATTCAGCGACAAGATGAACGTGTTATTAGTGAAGAAGGAGTAGCATATGTTCGAAATGTGGTGCATCCGCCAGTTAGAAGGATCATATTGGCATTTACTATTTTATGTTCCGTCATTGCGGCTTCGGGTGAATCTTCTGTGTTGTTTAATGGTCTCTTGGGAAACTGGACCTTAATGCACAAGGGCTATTTTCCATTTGATATTTCGAACAACACCAGGAACTATGCAATTGCCCATTTGTACCAAATCATAGGTCTGTCCTATATGATTCTACAGAATGTGGTCAACGATACTTTTGCGGCATCCCATATGTGCCTCCTACGGGGTCAGGTGCAAATGTTGAATGTGCGCATTGCGAAAATTGGTCACGACCCCAAGAAGAGCAGAGAGCAAAACAATCAGGAATTTTTGGAATGCATTAAAATACACAAGGATCTGCTGGAGTAAGTTGTGACAATATCAAATATTACTTTCGAACTTCATTATAAATTTTCCTTCTTTTAGATATCGCCGCCAATTGGAAGAAATCATATCCGTCTACATGTTCTTTCAGATTTTAGTGGCCGCCTTTAATATGTGCATCATTTTGGTCTTCATCATACTCTTCGTCAAGGATGTCTTCACCCTGATCTACTATATCTTGTATTTTAGTGCCATAGTATTTGAAATACTTCCCAGTTGCTATTATGGCACCCTGTTGGAAGATGAATTTCAAGATTTCGCCTATGCTCTGTTCTCCTGCAATTGGCCCGATCAAGATGTGGGTTTCAAGAAGAATCTTCGTATAGTTGCCGAATTTGCTTCGCGTCGCATTTATGTTACAGCATGGTTGTTTCGTGTGAATAACAATGCTTTTATCATAGCTGTTAAAAATGCTTATGCTCTTTTCGCCCTTGTCATGAAGGTCAAGTAAAATGAGGCATAAAATTTCGAAAATTGAAAATTTCAAATTTAAGAAATTCAAAAATAAAAGAATTAGCAAATATTTTAAAAATTTGTTTATTTTTGGCATAGCATATTAGCATATTAGATACAAGCCATATAATTCAAAAAATATTTTAGACATTGATATTTTTGGGAATCTTACGTAAAATTAGTTAAAGAAAAGGAATGGGAACCAATCAAAATCCCCAATGGATCAATTTCACATAAAAACAATTTCCAATTGTTTCTAGACTTCTGCCTTCTCCTTTACTTTCTCTTCATGGAAATCATGGTGTCGATTGGTTTTTAATTGTGATCCGTAGAACGACTGCCCAATAAGGAAGATTTTAATTTTTTTTATCCGTTTCAACCCCTAAATATACATCCTCAAAGCAATAGGCTTCTGTTCTGACCTTAACCCTAGCTCCATGCAAAATTTCGTGAAAATCGGTCGATAATTGCAAACTGAATATAATACCGTCAACACATAGTGTTGCAAAGTGAAAAAAAAATTTTAAAAATGTACAAATCAAAATTGTAAGTCAAATATGAAAAAACCGCATGCGATAAAATTAAAAAAAAAAAACTTTTTATTGTCGTATTTTTGTGTGATTTTCTTAGATTTTATCATTTTCTGGCAAGAGGTCATTCCGAATTGGCGAGAAATGTCAAAATTAGTGCAGCGATTTGTGACATAAAAGCAGAAAAACTAACACCAATTTCTTGTACATATACAGGGTGCGATAAAAAAAACTGCAAACAACTTCAGACTGCTATCATTTTTAAGCTACTCGTCCGACAGCTCTTAAAATTATTCCATTGTTTATATTGTTTACAAGCATTTGGTGAGAATTTTCCAGAAAAAATGTTATTCGTGATTGAACTCAAGCGTGATAATGTGATTTCTTTATATTTGGCTGGAAAACCACAAGTGTCTATCGTTTAGCACTCCAGCATTTAAATGTGAATAAGTCTTTAATGTCTCGTACTAGCGTAGCCCGACGTCAAGGAAGTGGACGGAAGAAAACAGCAACATCAGCAGAAATGATTCAAAAAGTAAAGAAGCGACTTCATCGAAACCCTCGATGCAGTGGCCGAAAAATGGCTCGTTTGCTGAACATATCGCAATATTCCATTCGGCAAATATTGGAAAATAAGTTCGGGGTAAAGCCATTGAAATTCCAAAAAGTGCAAGAACTTGCACCGCAGCAGAAAGAAAATAGACCCAAATGAGCTAAAGAGTTGCTTCGCTTGGCCGAAAGTGGTGAACTGCTGTGATTTGGTTTTTTCCGATGAGAAAACATTCGTTGTCCAGCAATTTATAAACAAAAAATGATAGTGTTTATTTGCCAAAGATGTCAGCTGAAAATGTGCACCTTCGGTTGGCCACCAGTACTCGAGCGCCAGCCATGGTGATGGTGTGGCCGCCATAACAGCCGATGATCGCTCCCGCTCGTATTAATCGACCGTGACATTAGAATAAATGCCAAATATTATTACGAAAATATTCTGGAGGGTGTATTAAAGCCCTTGGCACGCAAATATTTTTGCAGCAGACCTTGGATATTCAAAGAGGACATTCCAACACCATCGCACTCAGCACGCGACACCCACGAATGGTTACAAAATGAGGTTTCTCGCTTCATTTCCAGCGCACAATGGCCACCAAAACCTTCGGATACTAATCCGTTGGACTATTGAGTCTGGAGTATTTTGAAAAGCAAGGTTGGCACTAAAAAATACCAAAGTGTCGACCACCTCTTACAAGTGCTTCGCCGGGAATAGGCCAAAATACCGCAGAGCAACATTCGGGCAGCGTGTGACCGTTTCAGTGGCCGTTTGAAAACCATAATTCGTATCAAAGGTGACCAATTCAAACAAATCTAAACTTATTTTAAAATTTGATGCTATTACCGACATTTTTTTTTTCATTAAACAAATTAAAATGTATGGCGTTTGACTTTGTTGCAGTTTTTTCATCTCACCCTCTATCTGCTGGGTTACAATTGAGACTAAAACAACCAAAACACCCTTAATCTGACGGTACATATCTTTATAACTTTCATCCGATGGTGGAGGGTATGACAAGAAAGCTAAGAAAGGTTAGAGCCGGATATTTGCAATCATAAATTTCTCATGGATCCTCTACTTTCCAGAAAAAATAACTAAATTCGTTTGTAAAATATTTCGACTATTTCATGTTTTTGGTCCAATTTTCAAGGTTATTGCCTTATAATTTCTACCTCAGTCGTGTTGCTGGGAATTTCAAACAACAATTAAAAATGTATATTACTTAGCTATATTTTGGATATTTGACAACATACACCACAAAGTCGGAATAATGTTTTAAATCTCACATTTACCGATCCTTAGCCAATATGTATTTTGGCAACGGAATGTCTTGAAACATTTGAAATCCACGATATCGGGTAGCACCCATAGTACCCCAGCATTCGGTATATTGTTAATTTTAGACAAAGCAACGGAATTGTTTGGATTAAAATTGTGCTTGAACTTCGTAATGAGTATTTCTACCTCTGGCAAACAATTTTCAATATTAGAGAAAGAAAGCGAGATACACCCATAGTTACTTTTGAGGATCTTCATAGAATCTCTTTCTGAGTCGATTTATGCATGTCAGTCAGTCAGTCAGTCCGTCCATCCTTCTGTCCATGTATTTTTGTGAACCGGTTACGATGAAATTTTCCAAACAAAATTTGGTTGGCCCAAGGACGAACCCTATTGAATTTATATGTTCAACAGATTTCGGGTTAATTGTGCACTAAATGGCTAATATCAGTTTAAATTACCTGAATTTTGCCACATCTGACCCAATTTAGTGTAGAAGCAAGAGCTCTCACATATATCATTATCCGATCTCAAGTTTATTGTGCACCAAATGGCTAATATCATCCCAAATGGATTGGTTTTCGGCAATTCCGACTAAATTCATCCTGGAAGTAAGTACTTCAAATTTGTTTAAAATTGGCTTAGATACAGTTATAGCTCCCAAATGTATTTTTCATCCGATTTGGGGTTTTAAGTCCCTCACATGCTTTATATGCACTCCACAACAATGATCTTTGGTACCAGATATCAGATACAGCTCAGAAATATTTGCCAAAAATTTTGGCAAGATCAGTCCAGATTTGGATTTGCTCCCACATATATTTTTAACCGATTTCGGGTTAACTGTGCACCAAATGGCCAATATCAGTCCAAATGACCTGAAATTTGGCACATCCGACCGAATCTAGTCCAGAAGCGGGTTCAGATATAGCTATTTCTCCCATATATATTTTTCATCTGTTTTGGTATTTAGATCCCTCACTTTCGTAATTGAACTCTACAACAATGGTATCCTGTGCCATATATCTTATAGAGCTCAGAAATACCTTTGCCAAATTATATTGAGATCAGTTCATTTTTGGATATTCACATAACTTCCCAATATAATCTTTATACCCTACAACACTATATGTTGGGGGGATTTTAAGTTTGATTGGGCCAATAATTATGTAACACCTCGAAATATTGATTTCCCACATAGGAAAGTATATATGGATCTTCCTATCTCGCCGAGCTGAGACGATCTAGCTATGTATGTCCGTCCGACGTTCCGTCCGTCTGTCCATATTAATTTGTAATCACTCTACAGGTCGCAATTATAGTCCGATCCTCACGAAATTGAAAATGGAGGTAGGGTTATGAGTAGAACTCTATTGCTTTTGGAGATGATCGCATAATATTTAGGGGTTGAAATGGATAGTTAATATATCGTATATATTTAGCGAAATATATACAATGTGTATATACAAAGGAAGGGGATTTTAGCTATAACGCTCAATCTCAAGAATGGCTGGACCGATTTTGACAAATTTTGTCAATTCAGAACGCCCTCTTGGCATAAAAGTATAAACAAATCGCATAAAAAGAAGTCAATAATGATGTTTATGTAGGTTTTGTAGTGTTTTGTTGACTTATAATATTGAAGTGTACAGTTTGTAATATTTTGTAACATTTTTTCACCTTACAACACAGGTTGGGGTTATTATATACAGATTGCAATTATTATCCGATCCTCACGAAAATTTTAACAAGGGTAGGGTAAGGCTCTGAAGGGATAGGCCTATTGGATGCATAGATGTCCGCAATATATTTGGGGGTTGAAATGGACCAACAACTCAAAATGTTCCTTATTTTGCAGCCGTTATAAAGGTCACAAATAGAAACCAAAGGACACGAAATCTCGCATGAAGTTAGACTCTAGGTCGGCGGGTGGAATGGACTACCACTACTTTTGTGTGAAAAAATACCAGAATTACTTACAGGCGATATCCGAAATAGACAAAAATCGAACTTCTGGCTTTTTATGCTGATTTCGTTGACGAATATAGCCAAATATCGAAGACAAGCAAATCATATAGATGAGTCTAAATTTAGAGATACAGACTTTTGTATATGATCCCAACATATTTAGGGGTTCAAATGAACCAAAAACAGAAAAAAATTCCTGATTACACAATTTAAGCCAATCGACACGCCTAAGAAGAGAGTTAAGGACAGGGAAGGATTCTAGCATTTTAGATGGAAAATGTACCACAACAACTAACAGTATGACGGAGTACTTAAATATTGGGCAAATGTCACTGGTCAATATCTCGTGACATAATTTATTTTTGTATTTTTGATTCCTTTATAAAAATTGTGTGGGAAAACTTCATCTCACTTTATTCGTAGCACTCTAGCACTCAAAGGCAAATAAATCATCCTCCCAATAAACACATTATTAGACTGTAAAGCCTAATCCGATGGTGACAAATTTTCTACCTCAGTCGATTTTCAATAAATCTTAAGCCACTACCCCACATATGACTTCTTCTTTAATAGATTTATACAATTCAACACTTTTGTCAGCCAAAGAGATCAAAGTGTTAACTTCCAATAAAAAAACACCAATATTCGCGAATTCTTTTACCACCAATCCGC